CGGAGGCTTCCCAAGGACGTGCTGGCATGCTGGTTTCTACCTCATGCTTCTTTTCTACCCCAAACTGCCCCTGGCCAGCTTTCACGGTCCCTCAAACATCTGCCAACACAACAGTTGCTGCCTGTTCCGAGGCCTGCTCAGGGAGGTGCGGGCCTCGGTGTGTGGGCAGCTGCAATCAATCAAACCTCTGTTTCGGCATGCCGACCCCTCCCCACAAACATCTTGCTTCTGTTTGAAGGGCTGCTGAGAAATACAATTTGTTGCTCTTTCAAGCTGACCAGCTTGGAGTTAAAAATACAGCAGGGACTATGACACCCGGGGGACTGCATTCAATGGGTGATCTTTTTCATTGTTGCTTTTTTCTGAAATCTTCGCTCATACACATGTGATCCCTGTCTAAATGGCCGCCTATAGCTCAAGTCTTGCTGGGAGCCAACCAATGCTGGGTGGTCAAACCAGGTCTCAAAAAAGCAGTAAGGAAAATGTCAGCAAAAGTCCTGCTAATAAACAACCCACACCCTCAGGCTGGGCCCTGCCCTCAATGGCACACATTGTCATATTGCAAAAGGAAGGCTACAGCTTCACAGAGAACAGCAACCAGAAGGGACGAAACACCACATGAGGGGGGCGGCTGTGCAGGAGGTCCCGGGGCCAGCTGGAGCAGGGATCACGGCGTAACGAGTCCTCCGAGCTGCCTGTGGGCAACTTGCTCTGTGGAACCGAGTGGTTGTAATTACAAGTCCAGGGAGGGCGGACGCTGCTGCCTTAGGTCCTTGCGTCATTCCCCCCAGTAGGGCTTTCCTCACTAGTCAGCCTCCCCAGCTGAGGACCCAGATGGCTGCTCACCTGCAGCCTCATTCAGCAGCTCTGCCTGCTCTCCTGGCACTGAGGTTTTAAGAAGATGTGAGCAAAGACCACCTGAAAGCACGGTCTACACCCTACCCAGTGCATCTCATCCTGAGAGACAAGAGCCCCCACTGCCGTTAACTGGACAGCTGTGCCCCAGGGATGGGCTCGGAAGGGGTAGGGTGGCCGGCGGGCCCCTGGGCTATTTCCACCCTGGCGTCAAGGGCGACAGACATGAGAATGCTCGCACACGGCCAACTTCCTCCGGGCGAGGGGTGCGAATCTGATTCCGTCACCATTTCCTAACCCTGGGCTCTGAACAGAGCTGGCCGCAGGCTGAGCCGAGCCACAGAGCAGGCCTCCTTCCCATTTACCAAAGAAAAGCGATGGGGCCAGAAGGTGAACAAATAAGACAAAGCGGCGTGAACAGAAGAGGGAGGATGGAAACACAGGGAAAACGGTGGACACAGAAAAGGAGGCATTCTCACAGCAGACCGAGGGCGCCTCGCGGGCACGTGCACCCTCTGCTCCTAGTTCTGTTAGAAGCAGCCCGCACCTTTCCTCCAAGTCCTGTGACTGTGACGATGATCACGGACGTCTGTCAGCACCCACCCTGGGCCAGCCAGTGCGCTGGGTGGGGCGTGTGAGTACCTACAGATACACACACGTGCATACCAAAAGATGCGGCTATACACACACAGCCATAGATACACACCCATAGGGACCGACACACACGTACACACAAGCACATTCTCCACACACGCCGCTTCCCTTGCACCTCCTGCAGTCCTGTCCTCCCACATGTTGAGCAGCTGGCCCAGGGCTTCCAGCCTCCGGCCCCACCTCTGGAGGCCTTCCAGCTTGTCAAGGTCACCTTCTAAATGCAGACCCCAAAGTGAACACCACAACCAGATGAGCCCTGGCGGGCAGAGGGACCAACAGAGCTTCAGTTTCCTCAGGAGGGACTGGAATGGCCAACCTCTGAGGTCACATCTCCTGACACCCCCCGCACAGGGTCTACACCCAGGGCGCCTGCTCCTGCTGGACTCAACTGTGGATACAGACAAGGGCAGGGCCTGGGACCTCAGCGCTTCCAGCCCTTTTACACTCTCAGGTTCTCTCCCTGGTCCCTTTCCTGCCGGCGGCTTGGAGGGGCTCCAGCTAGCACAGCCCATCTGGCTACACCACATCATGGCCAGAAGGAAGCCCCCATGTCCCCACGCACACTCTCGAGATCTGCTCTGGGACCCAGTCGGTGCCTCTACGGGAGCTGGGGCTCTTCAGAACGGCCAGCTGCTCCAAAGGTCTAACTGAAAAGGCTGTCTGCACCTTTAACCTGAGGCTCTCACACACCTGGCCTCGGAACCCACAGACGAAGGGCACCTTTACAAGAATGCACAAGTATAGCTCTCACCCCCAAAGGCAAAGGTGTAAACCGAGATCAAAAGGAGCAGGAAAGAGAGGCCAGAGAACAGTGGGAGGAAGCGGGCCTCACCTGGTGCAAGCCTGCCCTTCCGAAGATATGGAAAGCCCAACTCCAAGCCTTGCTTCCACAGGCAGGGAGGGCAGGCCCCACCCCCTTCTCAGTGGTCCCAAATGTTGAGTGAAGCCACAGCACGCAGATGCTGGGGTCTGTGGCCAGTGGTCCCACCTCAGTGGCCATCTGGCAACATGTTAGTCCTTGTACACCAGCGACGTGCCCAGCTCATCAGGTTCCCATGCACGAGGCCCTGCACCGTCCAGGGTTCTTGACAAACACACAGGGATATCCTAGGCCTCGTTCTCAGGGCCCCATAGAAAAGCAAGGCCCACTCCCCAGGCTAGAAATCATCTGATGGCAGAGTCTGACGGAGAGAGGGCTGGCCAGGGTCTAGACTCCTGGTGCGGGCATGGCTCAGCATCCACAGGCCCAGCCTCAGGGCTCACATGCTTCCCAGAGGCCCCTCTCTACTTTCCCTGTGCCCGAGACCCACTGCCAAGCAGGCAGCCAAGGACAGAAAGGCTGAACCAGAGCAGGCTCCAGGCACTTCCCAGATCCAGGAGGCCCGCCTGGAGCCAACGAAGCCATCTACACAACTGGGCACAGCCCCACCGAGCAATATATTTTTAAACAGTTTCTCACCAAACGAGGTCAGGAAATGTCTCCAACGATGGCAGTGGTGTTATTCCAACTGTGGCTAGTAAAATATAATAACATGTATGTTGTTTTTATTACCTATCTAGCTTATTAGGTAATAAAATATGCTCAGCATTAAAAATTTAACTGAAGCCGTTATCATACCCAGAACTCTGGACTCTGAGTTTTCGTCAGAAGTCACCCAAATCTGTCACCTCTCCAGCCTTTTTACCTGTGTAAATTTTTCTAGAGAAGGGAAATTCCTCTGGGTATCCAATAAACGTGTTCAATCCCTGCCCGGCTAGTAAAGTCAAAAACGTCCACTATGCAGGAAAGAGAACGGCACGCGCCTGGAGCCGTGACGGAAGAAACCACCTGGATGAGGAGGGGCAGCAGCTCCGCCCCACACCCCTCCCTGCAGGCCCTCCCCCAAGCGGACCGCACTGGCACAGAGGAGGCACAAGCACACCACCATCTTGCCCTCCTACTGCCCCAGCCAGCGCCCAGGCTCCTGAACAAAGGTGGCCAGAAAGTCTGGACTCGGGGCCAGGTATGCTCTGGACCTAAGACAGCTGCACCTCTTCCCTTCTGGGTAGACCTCCGTTAGGAGTAGGAACTACAGGAGAGAGGGGCAAAACCCCGTGAAGCGAAACTGCACTTTCTTCGTAAAAGGAAAGAAGACCCAGCTGAGAAAACAACATCGGGCACCGAAGGAAGTCAGCTATGCCCACCTGAAATACAGTGAGCACGATGATCCTGCCTGCCCTGGATCCGGCCAAAAGGCTGAGTCACCAAGGCCAACTCCTCTGAAACCATCCTCACCAACAAGATCTTCACCCTCAAACCCAGTGAGGACCAACGTTTACAGAAACAAGTCCAGAAAAGATGATGGTCAGACCGTGGCATTAAGCAACTGATGGCGTCCCGGATGAACACAGAACCAAGAGCTGATCCTTGAGTCAGAGGTCACGAGGGCCAGCACCACTTCCCGGGCCTCACGATCACCTTGCCATCCCCAGCCACAACCAGATGCGGCAGGCTCGGAGACTCTCCTGATGACGGCGTATTAACTCCAAGTTCATCTCACTCAAATCAATACCCAAGATCAGTGTTAGCACAAGGCAGGGCTCCGAGACAGAGAGGATAAAGTCCGAGTGACAGGGGCATGTGGCCGGACGCTTCCTCTCCAGGGAAGGGCAAGGATGACTGCAGAGGCAGCTCAGAGAATACTGATCACAACTTCTCGACGGCCCCGTATTTCAACAGTGTGCTCAAAGGAATAAACCGCCCCCAGTCACTAGCTCTCAGCAACCATTACCCACAAGCCCAATCTCAGGATCGGCACCATCCAAGGGACACTGAATCCCAGTGTGTGTGAATGTTTCTTGCAGCAGCTACAGGGGTGGCTTCCTGGGAGAGACGGCTCCAGTGAAGGGCCAGAGGGGATTCCCAGTGTTTGGTCCCCGAGTCTGCCCACCAACACCCCGCCTCTCACTATCTGCCTGCCCTTGTACCTCTAGCACTGCACTCACAGTGAAAGGGAATATTTGGTTGTAAACAGAAAAAAAAACACGTTTTAAAAACCAACTGGATGTAATCCCAGCACTTTGGGAGGCCGAGGCGGGCGGATCACAAGGTCAAGAGATCGAGACCATCCTGGTCAACATGGTGAAACCCCGTCTCTACTAAAAATACAAAAAATCAGCTGGGCATGGTGGCACATGCCTGTAATCCCAGCTACTCAGGAGGCTGAGGCAGGAGAATTGCCTGAACCCAGGGGGCGGAGGTTGCGGTGAGCCGAGATCGCGCCATTGCACTCCAGCCTGGGTAACAAGAGCGAAACTCCGTCTCACACACACACACACAAAAAAAAAACCCAACTGGAAATAAGCTTTCTTTGAACAGGTTTAAAAAACAAGGAAATTAACCAACTCCTGGGTATTTCGGAAACCGGAGTTCTACGCTTGTCTAGGATGGACCAGAACCAGGAGAGGCTCCAGTGAGCACCAAGGTGACTCCAGGCTGCCAGGACTCTTACCTGTGCCATCTTGGCAAGGTCTAGAGAAGGCCTCTGCTCTTGAACTTCTTCAGGGCGCCGCCTTTTAACACCGACCTTCTTGTCATTAAGGACACATGGCTGGGAGCGGCTGCGGGAAAGGCCACTGGAGCGTCTCGCCAGCTCTGGCGTTGAGGCAGGTGTGCTGTTGGCTGAGGGAGGACAGTATTCCACAAAGGAAAACTGCTCGTGTGAGCAAGAGAGGGACCGCTGCAGGTCCAGCCGGCCCCCTCCCACAGGGTACGGGTCAGGGCTCCAGGTGTCACCTGCCTGTCCACAGGGGGCTGAGCCTGGCACCCCTTGGCAGTGCGGCCCTGCAAATCGGTGGTGGAGTCCTGCCTGGTCGCAGGGGGAGGAGAGCACGTTGGCCCGGGAAGGGAGGCTGAAGCTGGAGCTCCTTTGCATGGTGCTGAAGCCGTTGGAATAGCGCTGGACGCTGCCCCCGCTGTAGCAGCGTCTCTTTTCCACGGGAGTCCAGACTTTGGAGCCCAACGGCCTCCATGATGTCCGGCAGCTGGACATCTCATCGGAGAAGGACAGTGAGCGGCACTGGCGCTTGCTAGGGGGTGCTGAGGGGTTCCCGTTGTGGTCACTGATGCTGAGGTCTTTGATCAGACTGGTCACAGCACAGGCGGTCACTCCCTCCCGGTGCCAGAGCGAGCTGTCCTTTTCAGGCAGGCATTCCCAGATGCTGGTGCTTGGTTGGTCAATCTGAAGAGGGCATTTCCTGTCCAGCTCTCGCCATCTGTCATTTTCTGGTTCATAAATGACAAGGAGAAAACAGAATTTGAGAAGGCCTTCACTGCAGCCCTCTATTATCTCCACACCAACAGCCCATTTCAAACATAGCATCTTACGAGCCAAAAGGCCCCTAGAAACCATCCAGTCCAACCTCATTTTACAGATGAGAAACCGAGGTTCAGAGAGGGGAAGTGAATCCCAAGGCTTTGAGTTGGAAGTGGAAGCACAGCAGGGCTTAGAATCCAGATATACCCCTGGGACTCCCGATGGCGTTTTCTTTCCAGTGTACCACACTGCCTCCCAGGAGAATCCAAAGCAAATTTTCATCCAAAATGCCTTCTCAGCTTATGTATGGGTCACTGAATCGCCCTGAACCCTGCCCTGGCTGGCAAGAGAGTCAGGACAAGACATGTGTGAAGTGCCACTAGGTTCTCTGCAGCTCTCAGGACTGGGACTTGATGCCCTGGCAGAAGACCACAACTAAAAATGTCTCTCAACACCTCAGACGGCCAGGGACACAAGATGGCTGGGGCACTGCCAGGTTAGTTCACCCGAATTCCACCTTTAAAGCCTTTGCTGAGAATACAAGCTGGAGCTTGTACTGATTTAGGTCACCTCCACCAAGATGCTCAACACCAATATCATCAATGGCTGCCAATCACAGCGCTTTCTCTGTGTTCACTCGATTTTTCACTTAAAGCAATTAAAATCTGTAAGGACAAGTCTTGGGCTTCACAGACTTAAGGGCACCACTTAAACTTACGTATTCAGGTCTTTACTTGAATACATGAATAAATAAGCTACCCTGCTATGAAATGCTGCATTTGCACTTGAACCTTTATTTCTGTGAAATATTCAAGAACTAGATACTGTTTTTCTACTATGGAATCAGGCACCACGCTGGGAATTTTAAGAAATGCAAAGATAAATTTGACATCGCTCCTGTATTCAAGTTTATAGCAGAAAAGCAAAGTTAGGAAATATGCCGAGCTGTCAGGGAACAACTTGTTAGCACTATTTCCTCGAACCGATGTGTATTTACAAACCATGCACATGTGGATGGCTTGAGCCAGTCAAGGGAATAGAAGTGAAACCTGCGATGCTATTCGGTAGGTATTTAAATGCACGCTGGGTCTCAGAGCAATGCAGATCACTTACTGAGCATTTACCCTGGGCTATGTCATCCACACAGCACCCTGGGTACAGGTACAATCACAGACCAAATGGGGAGACAGGCTTGGGGGACACTGAGCAACTAGCCCAAGGCCACACAGCTAATACCTGACAGGATGTACACCCAGGTCAGTCAGGCCCCAGAGCATAGGCCCTTTTCTATACTACAAAGGGAGGGCCAGGAGCCCAGAATAAAAGCCAAGACAGAGCTAACGGTGGTACTCCTTCTTCTTGGGCATCCTGCCAAGGTCATGAGATAAGGATTGAGGGGCTGGGACCCTGGCAGGGAACACGGGAAGAAACTGTCCAGAGGCTGTCTTCACGGAGCGCCTCAGAAGCTGGAGATGCAGGAGGGAGACAAACGCTCAGGCTAGCCGGCGGCGACAAAGCGGGACTGTCGCTGAACATCCGATTCATTCATCATACACCGTTCACCTCATCTCTGAGATTTCCCAGGCCCTGACCACGGCAGGTCTCAATAACTGCTCCTCCAAAAATCATCCAAAGTACCTTCCTGCAAGTTCCATTAGGATATTCAAATATGCTTCAGCACCCAAGGAAACCACTTCCTTTGAGTATTCACCATTCTGTTAAATCAGTTTCAGCTTGACACTAGTCAGCAGCTGAAAGTTCAACAAACTAATATAAAATTTTTTTTTGAGACAGGACCTGGCTCTGTTGCCCAGGCCGGAGAGCAGTGGCATGATTTCAGCTTACTGCAACCTCCACCTCCCAGATTCAAGCGATTCTGGTGCCTCACCCTCCTGAGTAGCTGGTATTAAAGGTATGTACCACACACCCAGCTAATTTTTTTTTATTTTTTGTAGACATGGGATTTTACCATGTTGGCCAGGCTGGTCTCAAACTCTCGGCCTCAAGTGATCCGCCCACCTTGGCCTCCCAAAGTGCTGGGATTACAGGCATGAGTCACCATGACCAACTATAAAGTAAAATTAAAAATTAAAGGAAATATAAACTCTTTTTTTTTTTTTTTTTTTTTTTTTTTTTGAGACGGAGTTTTCGCTCTTGTTACCCAGGCTGGAGTGCAATGGCGCGATCTCGGCTCACCGCAACCTCCGCCTCCTGGGTTCAGGCAATTCTCCTGCCTCAGCCTCCTGAGTAGCTGGGATTACAGGCACACACCACCACGCCCAGCTGATTTTTTGTATTTTTAGTAGAGACGGGGTTTCACCGTGTTGACCAGGATGGTCTTGATCTCTTGACCTCGTGATCCACCCGCCTCGGCCTCCCAAAGTGCTGGGATTACAGGAAATATAAACTCTTGTTGACAGAGTCACAACTATCCCAGTTATCTGACTTAAACGAAAACAGTTATCTTAAGAAGAAAGTGAAGATTTACGTATGATGATGTTCATCAAAATGATGAGTGATAGCAAAATGGTACACATTATTCAAACATCTTACAGCAGGGGGCTGGTTAAGGCAATTATCAAGGAATAACATGGAACATGAAAAAGCAGAGTTTCAAGGAATATTAAATGACGTGGGGAAATGCTAGTAACATAAAGCTAAGTGTAAAGAAACAGGATATAAAACTGTATAGACGGTGTGATTCCTACTTAGCAAAACGTGTATGTTGTGGTAGGAAGGAAATAAACCAAAACGTTAATAGCGGATTGGCAGAAAGCTGGTTAATTTATTCTTTTTAGTTTTTCTATAGTCTCCAAATGTTCTATGAGAAAAAATGTATTACCAAATACGTGGGGGGTGTGGGCACCAAGCCCACGGGTGCTGTGCCCTTGCTCAACTCAGGAAGTGAGCCTGGGTCAGGGTGGGGGCCTACAGCCCGCCTTCCTCTGGGTTGGCTCCTCTGGGTGTTCAGGAAGTTGCCATACAAAAACGCTGGCCACTAACTTCTCTTTTGGGACAAGGCACTGAGGCACCAGATGGGGCAGGAATGTGGCCGACTAAGGAGGAAACCAATGGGCTTGGCACGGAGCGGTGAGGGTGGCCGGCGCTCACGGAGCCCGAGGCACACTACAGACTGTGTCTCCGTCAGGTCTCGGGGAAACCTGGGATAAGAAGGAGTTAATCCCACTCTCAGAGGATACCATCTTCTCTTCCATTTTTGTGCCACTGGCCTGGAATTTTCCCCACCTCTAGGGAAATCATAAGAAAGGGGAGTTGGGAGCCAGGTAAACAGGGACACACCCTCTCTCTCATCTGCTAGTGCCCTTCCTTTCCCACGGCCATCCTGTGATCTTGGGGCTTCTTGAAGGGCCTCCTCAGGGCCTCCCTACTGCAGTCCTATCTCCTCACTGCCTCTAGAGAACTTTCTGAAGCCCCCACCTAGTACCTATTGTGGCCCATTCCCTTCAGCTGTTACCCACTGCTTCCCGGAGAGGGGGCAGGCGCTTCACATTGGCACCTGGGCCCATCTCCTCATGGTTCCCCCCAACAAACCCTACGCTCCAGTTATCAAACCTCCTATGACAGTGAAGGTCAGAAGAGAATCATATAGCATCAAATTCCTCCTTGAAGCAATTCCTGAGCCAGCCCACAAAGCACACCACCTCCCCCAGCTTTGCGTAGACAACCCAAAAGAGTCATTCTTATGCACCAGCGATTCTTTATAAAATAAAGTTTAATAACTGTACTGCGGGAGCAAGCACGGGTAAGATCTACATGCAGAAAGGCTGGAAGTCCCACTCGCGGGGCCTCGAGGGAACTATCAGCACCCAGGACATCAGAGCTGGATGACGAATTCCTACCGGACCTACTCATTCTGGGCTACAGAGTAAGCCTCTCTGGCCTAAATATGTAAGATTTCTTTGTTGGAGGGAGGATTCAGTCAGTTTTTATCTGTGAAGGGAAGTGCAGCTTCCCCCAGACAGCAGCTCCTTCACTCACCCACACCTTTGCAAAGGTCTGGAATGTTAAATTTTCCTGCCTTTATCCCTCCTTTCACCAAGACAGTCTCCTCATTTAAAAGGCCAACTCAAAGCTCCTCTGAAGATACACCTTCTCCTAGCTCTGTGCACCTGAACTGTAATTACTGATCTGCTTACCCATCTACTTCTCCTCCTAAGCCACAGACTTTCAAGCACAGCCCCAGTGAGGCTCCCCGGTGCCCAGCACAGAGCAGGGCACACAGCAGACCTGAGTCTGGTGCACAGATGAAGGACTGGACTGCACACTGAAATAAAAGCTGCAAGAGGATGTGGACTCACGTGTCTTTTGTCCTTGGAAAAGGTGAGCCTTCCTTGGCCAGGTAAGTCCAACCTGGGCTGTGCCCTGAACCATGTGCCCCACCTGGGCCTCGTGGCCATGTGCGACTCAGTGGTGCCTCACAGTCACGTAAGTACAGCAGAATGTGGTTTTCAGACAAGGTTAAGCACCTCCTGTGGAGACCAAGATACGGCCAGGAGATGGGTTGGCAGTCATGTCTGAGACACTCTGGAAATGTAAAGCGCTGCGACTGTGTATCAACACCAGCCAGGTGGCCCCTTGTGCAGCCTGCAGGCAGATAATATTTTAATTGTTTCTATCTTTATCGCTTTGAGAAGTACAATATGAGAAAAGTAAAAACAATCGAGGCTATGTTTAGCCCTGTGTTTTCACCATTCGCTCAGGGAACAGAAAGCAATTTATTGGGTCAGATCACCAGACAAAAGAAACAGGAATAGAAGCTAATTTTTAATGGCAAACTGCCCCAACCACTAGGCCCTGACGTCACACTACACAAAGGGCCTTGGGAGGCCTCTGAGAAGAGGATACCGGGTGCCCCTGCCCCCTCCATTCAATATCACTTCTGCACAAACAACTATAACTCTTTGAAGTCACAATGGCCATGGACGGAGGAGTCTACTGAGCAACAGTC